TGTTAGGATGCTCAGGTAGAAAACGACAAGATAGAGCACTGAGAATGTGGGGAACTTAAAACAAACTTGGTTTATGGTGCCAAGGTTCTGAATGCTCTATACCTTCGAAAAAGGAAAGACCAGCCCCCGAAGAGAAATAGACAACATCATTCGGTTTCTAGCAGCCCCTGTGTGCATCCTGGCATGGTTCAAAGCCCCTCTTGGTGACACCATCCCCTGGACAATCCTTTGTACTTGAAATTTTGAGAGAGCTGTGGAGGGTTTGGGAGCACAGGATGCAAACAACAAGAGAGAGTTCTCAGAATTTGGAGAACATAAAGAAAATTGTTTTAAGGTCTCCAAGTTCTGAGTGCTCTCCACTTTTCCCAAAAGCAAGACAAGCCACTTAGGAGAAATAGAAAGCATTGTTCTGTCCCAGTCAACTGTGCTCTGAATCTTAGCAGGGCTTAATGACCCTTGCACTATCCACAGTAAACAGTCCAAACTTTGTTCTTCCAATTCTGGGAGAAGTGACCAGTGTTAGGGAGTGCAGGTACAAACGATAAGATAGAGTACTCAGAATATGGGGACCCTAGAACAGTCTTAAGGCCCCCAGGGAAGGAGGGCTCTACACCTTCCCCAAGGAAGAGACACCCCTCCAAAGAGAAATTCACAGCACCCATCTTTCCCAAGAAGCTCTGCTCTGCATCCTAGCAGTATTGAAAGTGCCTCATTCTGTCTACAATAACAGGTGAAATTTTTTTTCCTTTTAATTCTGAGAGAGGTCAAAAGTGATTAGGAACTCAGGATGCAAAGAATAAGATAGAGCCGGGCACTGGTGGCTCACGCCTGTAATCCTATCTACTCAGGAGCCTGAGATCTGAGGTACACGGTTGCAAGCCAGCCCAGGCAGGAGAGAAGGTGAGACTCCTATCTCTAATAAACCACCAGAAAACTGGAAGTGGCGCTGTAGCTCAAGTGGTAGAGTGCTCGCCTTGAGTTGAAGAACTGAGGGACAACGCCCAGGCCCAGAGTTCAAGCCCCACGACAGACAAAAAAAAAAAAAACCTATACAGAGCACTCAGAACCTCGGCGATTTAAAACATTATTGTTTGACGGTGACCAGGTTCTAAATGGTCTACACATTCCCAAACGGAAAAACAGCTCAGTAAGGAGAGTTAGACAACATCGGTCTATCCCAGGCATCTTCGGTCTGCATCCTAGCAGGGCTTAAACCTCCTCACACTGTCCCCATTAACCAGTCCCAATTTTTTCCTTGCAATTCTGGGATTGCTGAGCAGTGTTAGGGAGCTCACGATGAAAACGACAAGATAGAGCCCTGAGAACTTGGGTACCTTAAAACAGAAATGATTTTTGGCCTCAGTTGTGAATACTCTCCACCTTCCATAATGAAGAGACAAGCCACCAAAGAGAAATGGACAGCATATTTCGGTCTCTAGTAGCTCCTATGTGCATCCTGGCTTGGTTCACAGGCCCTCTCGGTATCACCAGCCATAGGTCAAAAGAATTCTTTGAAATATTTGGGAGAGCTGAGGAGGTTTTGGGAGCACAGGATGCAAATAACAAGAAAGAGCACTCAAAACTTGGGGACCTTAAAAAAAAAGTTTTGAGTGCTCTACACCTTCCACAAAGGAGAGAAAAGCCGCTAAATAGAAATAGATTGCACTTTTCTCGCCCAGGCAACTCTGGTCTGCATCCATCAGGGCTTAATGCCCCTCACACTGTCCACAGAGCCCAGTCCAATTTGTTTCGTCTAATTCTGGGAGAGCTGATCTGTGTTAGTCAGCTCAGGATGCAAACGACATGATAGAGCACTCCGAAATTGGTGACCTTAAAACAGTTTTAAGGTCCCAAAGTGAGGAGGCTCTACTCCTTCCCCAATGGAGAGACAAGCCTCCAAAGATATATGAACAGCACCGACCTTTCTCACTAAGCCCTAATCTACATCCTGTTCCATATACTGTCAACAATAACAGGTCCAATTATATTCCTTGCAATTCTGGGATTGCTGAAAAGTGTTTGGAAGCACAGGATGCAAACGACAAGATAGAGCAACACTGAAATTTGAACATCTCCTTTTAAATCCTCTGTGGTTTCTTCTACCCCCGTGAAGTTTGGCCAGGGTACGCAGTTTGCATTGCTGCACAATTGCGCCTGCAGCGCTCTGCCACGGTTGCAAATATTCAGGCATGGCAGCCAGATAGGCTTGTCCCCTTAGGACACTTAGGTGTCATAAGTTGAACCTCTACTTATGGCACCCTGTGAAAGTTTGGAGAACCAGACCTCAGTTTTTTGGCACGCGACCACTGTCCACCCAGGCCTATGGACAGGACTGGGTATATGAGGCTCTAATTAGTCCATGGTTGTGTTCAGCCGAATAACCTCTGCCGGGAACACTCAGAATGAGGTTCTGAGTTATTGCAACATAGGAGCATTTCACTGCTTTCCAGGCTTCTTAGAAAGAATCTTGCTGCCAGCAGGCCTCTGGGTGTTCCGGGTGAACATCTCCTTGTAAATTCTCCGAGGTTTCGTCTACCCCCGTGAAGTTTGGCAAGGGTACGCAGTTTGCATTGCTGCACAATTGCGCCTGCAGAGCTCTACCACGGGAGCAAACATTCAGGCATGGCAGCCAGATTGGATTGTCCCTGTAGGACACTGCCAGCTGACTTGGTGTATCTGTTCCGGTTCTTCTCCCTGAGTGCTCCTGATTCAGGCTTTGACGGCTACACTGTACTCATCTTGAGGAGTAAGTTGAACCTCTGCTTATGGCATTCTGTAAAAGTTTGGAGAACCAGAAATCACTTGTTTGGCACACGACCACTGTCCATCCAGGCCTATGGAAGGCACTGGCTATATCAGGCTCTAATTAGTCCACAGTTGTGTTCAGCCGAATGACCTCTGCTGGGAACACTCAGAATGAGGTTCTGAGTTATTGCAACATAGGAGCATTTCACTGCTTTCCAGGCTTCTTACGATGAATTCCAGAATCTTGCTTCTGGCAGGCCTCCGGGTGTAACTGGTGAACATCTCCTTGTAAATCCTCTGTGGTTTCTTCCACCCCCGTGACGTTTGGCAAGGGTACGCAGTTTGCATTGCTGCACAATTGCGCCTGCAGAGCTCTGCCGCGGTTGCAAACATTCAGGCGTGGCAGCCAGATAGGCTGATCCCCGTTGGACACTGCCAGCTGACTGGGTATATCTGCTTCCCGTTCTCACCTGAGTGCTACTGATTCCAGATTTGATGGCTACACTCTTCTCAACCTGAGGCGGCTGGCTTTGAACCGTGATCCTCCCATCTCAGCCTCCTGAGTAGCCGGTCCCCCCTTGCTGGGGCGTGGGGGGGGAGTAGCCGGGGACGGAGCTGGGGAGGGGGGGTCCTGCAGCCCCCACCTCCCGACTCACCGTGACCCAGGCCTTGGCGCAGCCTGGCGAGCCCTCCAGGTCAAAGTCCACAAACACCAGGCGCACGTTCGAGCCCTCTGGAGCCCGAATGTGGGTGGTGACGGCTTGACCGTTCGGGTACGGCTCTGGGTAGTCTGGGGAGGTCAGCTCCTGGGGTGACCATTGGGCCACCAGCGCCACACCCTGCGTGGGCTGGAGGAGCCCCGAGAGGAGGAGGAAGAGGAGGAGGCCGCGCCTGTGTGGTAATGAATGTGCCGTTTCATCATCTAGATCAGGAGCGCACGCCTGTAATCCCGGCCACGCAAGAGGCCGAGATCGGAGGATCCCAGTTCAAAGCCAGGCAGTCCGGGAGATGGTGTGGGACCGCCACAAAAAGTTGGAAGTGTGGCTCCAGGGGGAGCACGTGCCAGCCTGAGTGAAGAAGCACCACAGGGACAGTGCCCAGGTCCTGAGTTCGAGTCCTGGCACCGGCACGAAGAGAAAGAAAGAAAGAGTGAAGGGAATCTGGCTCTTTTCTAAAGAGCTCGCAGGCAAAGCTCGCTCCCTCCGAGTGTGTGTGTGTGTGCGTGCACGTGTGCGTGCACATGCGTGTGCCCCCCCCGTCCCTCACACTCACATCTGGCCAAGCAGCTGGTGGAGGGAGGGTTTCGGCCCGCTGAGACCAGGCATCCGGGCCTAGACATCTGGAACCTTCTAGAAGGCTCGGCCCAGGCCGGAGACCTGGAGAGGTGGGGCTGGAGGCGGTCCTGGGGGCGGGGCAGGGGGAGGGGGGAGGAGAAGTTTCTGGAAATGAGTTTAGTAATCACCCACTAACCTTCCTCCAGTTCCCTGGGTTGAGCGCCACCTGCTGTCGACCTGAGGGATAGCAACTCGCCAACAGTTTTTTTTTTTTTTTTTTTTTGTAGGTCGTGGGGCTTGAACTCTGGGCCTGGGCGCTGTCCCTCAGCTCTTCAGCTCAAGGCGAGCACTCTACCACTTGAGCCACAGTGCCACTTCCAACCAACAGTTTTTGTGTGTGTGTGTGTGTGTGTGTGTGTGTGTGTGTTTTGGGGGGGAAGCACCCCCAAACTTTCACATCATGCTCTCCCCCCCCATGCCAGGAAGGGCAAGGCTCCTTCTCTTCTGTGAATTTAAATCTCTCTCCGTGGCTCAGCCCGGCGCCTCGCTCCTCTGGTGGTTGAGATCCGAGGCTCCAAGTTCAAAACCACCCCAGGCCAGACATCCGAGGGAGACACTCACCTCCAATTCTAGCAGGAAAGAAAAGAGGCTGGGCGCCAGTGGCTCCCGCCTGTCATCCCAGCTGCTCAGGAGGCTGAGATCTGAGGATCCAGGTTCAAAGCCAGCCTGGGTAGGGGAAGGTAGTAGTGGTGCCGTGGCTCAGGTGGTAGAGCACCAGCCTTGAGCACCAAGAGAGTCGGGGACAGCGCCCAGGCCCTGAGTTCAAGTTCCAGGACCAGAAGGAGAGGGAGGTGTGGCTCAAGTGGTAGAGCACCAGCCATCCTTTAGTGGAAAAAAAACACAAATGAGAATGTGAGTCTCTGAATTCAAGCCTTAGTACTAGTACAAGAAAACAAAAGTACACGTGCACACACACACACACACACAAACACACACATAACAAACTGTAAGCTCCCAATTTGTAAATGTAGCTTCTTTTTTTGTTGATCGTGGGTCTTGAACTCAGGGCCTAGGCGCTGTCCCTCAGCTCTTCAGCTCCAGGCTGGCGCTCTACCACTTGAGCCACAGTGCCACATCTGGTTTTTTCTGCTTATGTGGTGCTGAGGAATCGAACCCAGGGCCTCATGCATGCAAGGCGAGCGCTCTACCACTGAGCCACCTGCCCAGCCCCTGTAAATGTATCTTGTTCATCAATGTAGAAAAGATCCAGGAGGGGAAAAAAAAATAGCCAGGTCCCAGTGGCTCCCGCCTGTCACCCCAGCTCCTCAGGAGGCTGAGATCTGAGGATCACAGCTCGAGACCAGCCTGGGCAGAAAAGTCCGTGAGACTCTGATCACCATTAAACCACCAGAAAACAAGACGTGGCACTGTGGCTCAAGTAGTAGAGCACCCGCCTTGCGCTGAAGAGCTGAGGGACAGCGCCCAGGCCCTGAGTTCAAGACCCAGGACTGACCAAAGCTAAATAAATGAATAATTGTGTAAGTTGTGAGTGGGGATGGGGGGGGGGGGGCCGCGGACATTGCACTCAGATCTTCATGTATGAAATTGTGGTTCCTTTGTCGGGCTACTTACCAACCACAGGAAGGACAGCAATCATCACAATACAATGACATGGAGTCCCGGCATATTCCTCCTGTGCATTTCATCACACAGATAACTAATTAGGGGTAGTCCCTTGACATCTGCGGTCCCCTTAGAGGTCTCTCCTCTGCTTTGATCTGGATCTCTCTCTCATGCAATGGTCTGGGGCTCCAGGAAGGACAGGACGGACCACTGACATCTCGTGTGTGTGTGTGTGTGTGTGTGTGTGTGTCCTGGATCTTGAACTCAGGGCCTGGGCGCTGTCCCTCAGCTCTTCACGGCAAGGCTGGCGCTCTACCGCTTGAGCCACAGCGCCACTTCCGGTTTTCTGGGGGTTCATGGGAGATCAGAGTCTCACGGACTTTTCTGCCCGGGCTGGCTTTGAACCCTGATCCTCAGGTCTCAGCCTCCTGAGTGGCTGGGGTGACAGGTGTGAGACACCGGTGCCTGGCTTGATTTAATTTTATGTTTCATTTCATCTAGGTTTATATTTCACATTTCTTTTGATTGATTGATTTTTGTCCAGATCCTGGGACTTGAATTCGGGACCTGGCGCTCTCTAGGAAACATCGAGAACACGGAGAAGCTGCAGTACAGTGGTGAGAAGCTGTACAAGTTCACCGTGACGGCCTACGACTGCGGGAAGAAAAGGGCGGCCGACGACGCAGAGGTGGAGATTCAGGTGAAGCCCACCTGTAAGCCCAGCTGGCAAGGTGAGGAACCCCCCCCTGCACCCCCCAACCCCGGGGCTTCACGGGAGACCCTGAGGCTCACGGACTCTCCTGTTCCGGGCTGGCCTCCCACGGCGATCCTCCTGACCTCAGCCTCCTCGCTGGGATTACAGGCATGCGCGGCTGGCTGCGGCTGACTTCTCTCCTCTCTTGTCCCCACCGTGCAGGCTGGAACAAGAGGATCGAATACACCCCGGGGGCCGGGAGCTTGGCTTTGTTCCCGGGCATCCACCTGGAGACCTGCGATGAGCCGCTCTGGAACATCCAGGCCACCGTCGAGCTGCAGACCAGCCACGTGGGCAAAGGCTGCGACCGAGACAACTACTCGGAGCGGGCTCTGAGGAAGCTGTGCGGTGCGTGAGCCTCCGCGTCCCCGCGGCCGCTCGCTCTCTTTTGTGGTCGTGGGGCTTGAACTCAGGGCCTAGGCTCTGTCCCCGAGTTGTGTTTTTGTTGCTGGCGCTCTACCACTTGAGCCACAGCGCCACTTCCAGCCTTTTGCTTGTCCATTGGAGAGCAGAGTCTGCGGGACTTTTTGTTTTCTGCCCAGCTGGCCTCTGAACCGTGATCCTCCAGATCTCAGCCTCCTGAGCCGCTGGGATTATAGGCGTGCGCTACGGTACCCAGACTTGGGAGTAGAGCCGTGCGCTACTGGTGCCCGGATCTTGGGTCTCCTGTGTGACCCCGGTTTTGCACAGGCCTCCCCCCTCCCTGGGGCCCATCAGCTGACCCTGCCCCCACCCCGTGTCCACCACAGGAGCAGCCACGGGGGAGGTGGACCTGCTACCCATGCCCGGCCCCAACGCCAACTGGACGGCCGGACTGTCGGTCCAATACAGCCAAGACAGCAGCCTGATCTACTGGTTCAACGGCACCCAGGCAGTGCAGGTGCCCGTGGGGAGCCCCGCCGGGCCGGGCTCTGCGCCCATCGACGGCCTCAGCGACCACTTCACCCTCTCCTTCTGGATGAAGCATGGGGTCGCACCCAGCAAGGCCAAGAAGGAAGAGGAGACCATCTTGTGTCACACGGTCCAGAACGGTGAGCCCCCCGGCCCCAGCCCCGAGGTCCCCGGCCCGCCGGGGAAGAGCGGCTGCAGGCCCTGGAACGGCAGACATGCCCCTCCCAGCCGAGGCTGCAGGCGTGCGCTACCAGACCCAGCTACGGGTGGAGATGACGGCTTGGGAGCTTTGACGCCCCGGCTGGGCCTCGGACTGCAAACCTCCCGTGTCTTAGCTCCCGGGGAGCTGGGATTGTGGACTTGAGTCGCCACGCCTGGCCTGAGTTTCCAACTCAGGGCCTGGGCACGGTCCCTGAGTTATTTTGCTCTAGGCTGGCGCTCTACCACTTGAGCCACAGCGCCATTTCTGGCTTTTTGCTGGTTCCTTGGAGATCAGAGTCTCGTGGATGTTCCGGCCCAGGCTGGCTTTGAACCGCGATCCTTAGATCTCAGCCTCTCGAGGGGCTGGGATGGCAGGCGTGCACCCCAGCGCCCGGCTCGGTGTTAATTCTTGTTGTCCGTGGATCCCCGCACCCGCCAGGCGCTACGCCGCACCCGGCCCGGCCCCCACCCACCCCGCTGCCTCGGACGCCATCTGGGGGGCTGCTCTCCGCCCAGAGCGGCCCCCCGGCTTGGCAATGCAAACCCCGCTGTCTCCTAGAGAAGGCGGAGCCCCGCAGAGGGCCCCAGCCTGCACTGGACCTGTCCTTTCTAGATGGTTCTCTAACCCCGGGAAGAGGGCTGTCAGCCACGGTGCCTGAATTAGTAACGGACCCGAGAGGCCTGGGCGGGAACCGCTGCCAACACCACGTGAACCCCCAAATCTGCCAGACACAGACAGACAGACAGACAGAGACAGACACAGACAGACACACACACACAGACACAGACAGACAGACACAGACACAGACACACACAGACAAAGACAGAGACAGACACACAGACACACACAGACAAAGACAGACAGACAAAGACAGAGACAGACAGACAGACACAAAGACACAGACAGACACAGACAGACACAGACAGACACAAAGACAGACAGACAGACACAGACAAACAGACAGACAGACACAGACAGACAGACAAAGACAGAGACAGACAGACAGACACAAAGACACAGAGACAGACAGACAGACACAGACAGACAGACACAGACAGACAAAGACAGAGACAGACACACAGACACACACAGACAAAGACAGAGACAGACACACAGACACACACAGACAAAGACAGACAGACAAAGACAGAGACAGACAGACAGACACAAAGACACAGACAGAGACAGACAGACACAGACAGACAGACACAGACAGACAAAGACAGACAGACACAGACAAACACAGACAAAGACAGACAGTTATAGACAGACAGACACAGACAGACAGACAGACACAAAGACAGAGACAGACACAGACAGACACAGACAAACAGACAAACAGACACAGACAAACAGACAGAGCCAGACACACAGACACAGACACAGCCAGACACAGAGACATACAGACACAGAGACAGACAGACAGACAGACAGACAGACAGACAGAGACAGATACACACAGACAGACACAGAGACAGAGACAGACACAGACAGACAGACAGGGCTGGGCACCTGGTGGCTCCCGCCTGTCATCCCGGCTACTCAGGAGGCTGAGAGCTGAGGATCGTGGTTCAAAGCCAGCCTGGGCAGAAAAGTCTGTGAGACTCTGATCTCCCATGAACCACCAGAAAACCAGACGTGGCGCTGTGGCTCAGGTGGTAGAGCGCCCGCCTTGAGCTGAAGAGCTGAGGGACAGCGCCCAGGCCCTGAGTTCAAGCCCCACGATCGACAAAACAAAACAAAAGACAGAGACAGACGCACAGACGCAGGTGCAGGCGGCCCGCGGGTCCCCACGGCGCGAGGAGCGTGGGGACAGTGTGCCGAAGATCTCCCACTGCGGCTTTGAACTTGCTCTGGCCCTGGGCCTTGCACTTGACCCCTGACCCCTGACCCCATGCTGTCTCCTCAGAGGACGGCTTCTCTCACTACTCGCTGACGGTCCACGGCTGCAGAATCGCCTTCCTCTACTGGCCCCTGCTCGACAGCGCCCGCCCGGTCAAGTTCCTGTGGAAGCTGGAGCAGGTGAGGCTAGTGCTTGCTGCTTGGTGCTTGATTCCTGGTACTTGGTGCTCGGTGCGTGGTGCTTGCTGCTTGGTACTTGGTGTCTGATGCTTGGGACCCAGTGCTGGGTGCTTAGCGCCTAGTGCCCAGTGCTTTGGACTCAGTGCTTGGCGCTTAGTGCCTGGCACCCACTACTTGGTGTTTAGTACTCAGTGCTTGGTGCACAGTGCCTGGAGCCCAGTGCTTGGTGTTCAGTGCTTAGTACTCAGTGCTTGGTGCTTAGTGCCTGGCACCAGTGCTTGGTGTGTAGTGCTCAGTACTCAGTGTTTGGTCTGCAGTGCCTGGAGCCCAGTGCCTGGTGTTCAGTGCTTAGTACTCAGTGCTTGGTGCCCACTTCTTGGTGTTTAGTGCCTGGTGCCTAGTGCTTGGTACTCAGTGCTTGGTGCTTAGTGCCCAGTGCTTGGTGCTCAGTGCCTGGTGCCCAGTGCTTAGTGTCTGGTGCCCATTGCTTGATACTCAGTGCCTGGTGCCCAGTGCTCAGTGCTTAGTGCTTGGTGCTCAGTTCCAGGTGCCCAGTGCTTAGGGCTTGGGGCTCCGTGTTCAGTGCCTGGTGCCTAGTGCTCGGTGCTTGGTGCTCAGTGCTGGGTGACTGGCTTGCAGGAGGGTGGGGTTTCTGGAAGGCCCAGGGATGAGGCTGGCATTTTGGGGGTTCAGCCCTGGCCGTCCATGCCACATCCTCTGGGCTCTCTTGTGTTCTCGGCACCTTGGGGCGGAAGGAAAGGTCACCTCTTTTCTTGTGGAGCTGCTGGGGTTTGAACTCGGGGCCTCGCTGGTGCTCTACCTCTGGAACTCGCCTGCAGCCGTGCTTTGGGCTGGCTGGATGGCGATGAGAGTCTCGGGGACTTTCCTGCCTGGGCTGGCTTCGAGCCTTGAGCCTCCGACCTCAGCCTCCGGCCGGCTGGGACAGCAGGTGTGAGCGCCGGTGCTGGTCGGAGCATGTTCCTCCTCGAGCTGAGCAGGCTGGGAACTGAGACTCTTCCAGCCTGACTCTCCTTCCCCGGGAGAGGCGGACACAGGGGCCCGGTCTCCGGAGGGGCAATCACGGTGTGGGGGGCCCCTGCACCCCAGGTCTGCGATGATGGATGGCATCACTACGCCCTGAACCTGGAGTTCCCCACGGTCACCCTGTACACCGACGGCATCTCCTTCGACCCCGCGCTCATCCACGACAATGGCCTGATCCACCCGCCTCGGAGGGACCCGGCGCTCATGATCGGGGCCTGCTGGACCGGTGGGGCCCTTGCCCTGGGAGAAGACGACCCGGGGGTGGTTCGGGTGGCGAGGGGAGGAGCCATGGCAGCCTTTCTGTGCAGCTGAGGTCTCCGGCAGTGTCTCAGGGCAGATGGGGTCAGGGCCCCAGATTCGAGGACTTCTCAAACGTCCCCAGGAGTCTCTCTCTGGGTCACTACAGCCATGGGACAGGGGACAGAGACGCCTTGAGAATCGCACCCATCTTCTGTCTCTTCTGTGTGCTGTGTTTGCCCATCCTGGGGTTTGAACTCAGAGCCCGGGCGCTGCTCCTACGCTTTATGCTTTTTCCACTCAAGGCTGGCGCTCTACCCCTTGAGCCACAGCGCTATTTCTGGCATTTTGCTGGTTCATGGGAGATCAGAGTCTCACGGCCTTTCCTGCCCGGGCTGGCCTTGAACCGCGATCCTCAGCTCTCAGCCTCCCGAGTAGCCGGGATGGCAGGCGGGAGCCACCGTGCCTGGCTCATCTTCCATTGTTTAAACAACCACACAGGTTGAGACTCAGCGAAGAGGCTGTACGTCTTCCAGGGGCCTGAGAAGGTTCTAGAAAATAGGGAGGGGGGGGGAATTGTGTGTATTTGTCCTCGTAGTCCTGAGCTCCCAAATGTTTTATTTTCTGGGGTCGCAGAGGAGAACAAGAAGGAGAGAGGAGACAACGCCACAGAGGCCGCCCCAGGTGTGGCGGGGGTGGGAAGGGGAGGTCGGGGTTCACACCTCCAGGAAGGTGCGGACCCCTCGCTCCCGGACACCCCCTGCTCCCCCCCCCCCCGAAATCCTCCCCAGCTCCCCTTCACTGACGTAAGACGCCGGGCCGGGCCGCCTGCGGTTGGATCCTTGACGGCAACAATTATGTTCTAATAGTCATGTCTTTATTATGGGGGAGAGGGTCTCGAACTCAGGGCCCGGGGGGCTGACTCTGAGGGTTGTTTTCGGGGTGTGCTCGAGGCTGGCGCTCTGCCACCCGAGCCGCCGCCTTTTGGCTTGCTGGTTTCCTCGGAGTCTCCTTGGAGTCTCTCTGGTGTTTTTCTCCCCTTTGGAATTGTGCGCGTGTGGCTGGGATTACAGGCGTGCGCGCGCCGCCCGGCAGTCCCGGCCCACACCCGTCCCTCCCCACCCTGTCTTCCCCCTGTTCCCCCCCACCCCCCCCACCGCCCCTGTGTTCCTGCCCTAGGAGACCCCTTGTCGGTCCACCACTATTTCCACGGTTACCTGGCGGGGTTCAGTGTGCGGGCCGGCCACCTGGAGAACCGGGCGGTCATCCAGTGTCTCTATGCATGCCGGGAGGGGCTGGATTATAGAGATTTCGAGAACCTGGGAAAAGGCATGAAGGTATTGGACCCTCCCTCCCTCCCTCCTCCAGCCCTCCTCTTCCCAGCATGCCCCTGGACCCCCCTTCCCCCCCACACCTAACTTTCTCTGCGACCTCATCTCTGGTCTGTGTGCCAGGTCCACATGAACCCCTCCCAGTCCCTGCTCACCCTGGAAGGCGACGACGTGGAGACCTTCAACCACGCCCTGCAGCACGTGGACTACATGAACACCTTGCGCTTCGCCACGCCAGGCGTCAGGCCGCTGCGCCTGACTACCGCGGTCAAGTGAGTCCCACGGCCCGGCCCCGGGGCCGGGCCCTCCAGCCCAGGTGCCTGTCCCCCCAGAGATCTAGCCCTACGCCCTCTCTCTCTGTGTCCCCAATGAGGACCCAGAGAAGGCGATGTGTCGCAGCCATGTTGGCCGAGCGCCGGTGCGCACGCCTATAATCCCAGCGACTCAGGAGGCTGAGATAGGAGGATCGAGGTTCAAAGCCAGCCCGGGAAGGAAAGTCCGGGAGACTCTGATCTCCCAGGAACCCCCAGAAAAACCGCAAGGGGCTGGGGCTGGGAAGGTGGCTCAGTGGTAGAGCGCTTGCCTTGCATGCCTGAGGCCCTGGGTTCGATTCCCCAGCACCACATAAGCAAAAAAAAAGAAAAAAAGCCGGAAGTGGCGCTGTGGCTCAAGTGGTAGAGCGCTAGCCTTGAGCTGAAGAGCTGAGGGACAGCGCCCAGGCCCAGAGTTCAGGCCCCACGACCGGACCCAAAAAAAAAAAAAGAAAGAAAAACTGCAAGGGGCGGCGTGGCTCACGCGGTAGAGCGCCCGCCTGGAGCACAGACAAACTCAGAGCGATCACCCAGTCTAATCAGAGGCCGGCTGCTTGCTGGAGATCTGAGGACCCGGCCGTTGAGTCGATGCTGCTCCCTGGTGGGAAGCCCGCGCCATTACAGGCTCCTTGGGCTCTGCCTCAACTTCTCCAAAGCATCCAGCTTTGGAGGATGACTTCCAGGGGACCCCGCACCCCACCACGCACCAGTCAGGACTCAGAGCCGCGTCTCCACGCCCTTCAGAGAGGGCTCGGCCTTTGCTTTCAGCCTGGACTGTCCTCCTATCGGCTTACCTGGCGTAGCTCGGCTTACAGGTGTGTCCCACCAAGCCCGGCTCACTTGTTGAGATGGCGGTGTTTCCAAGGCGATTTGCCCAGGCTGGCCTCCAAACCTCAATCTTCCCGGGTGATCTCCATCTCCAAAGTCGCTGGGATTATGAGGTGAAGAAAGGGCACCCTCTTTTCTCCACGTTTGGGGTTACCACATAGTTGTGACCCCTTAACACTTTCCTGAAGGTCCTGAGCCTGTCATCCCAGCGACTCAGGAGGATCACAGTTCAAAGCCAGCCAGGGCAGGAAAGTCCAGGGGGACTCAATTCCCATGAGCCAGCCAAAAGCCGGAAGGGAGCCGTGGCTCAAGTGGTAGAGCGCCAGCCTTGAGCAGAAAAGTTCAGGGACAGCGCCCAGGCCCCGAGTTCAAGCCCCAGGACTGGCAAATGGCGGGGGAGGGAAGAAGGGAGGGAGAGGGAGGAGGAGGAGGCAGGTGTAGCCTCTGAACACAGGTCAGACTTGCAGGAAGGGACCCCGGGATCGGCCGCCAGGCGGGAACCAACGGGACTGGGTGGACCACGCCAGGCACCGTGAGGGGCGTGGCCTGCGCGGGAGGCCGCACTGGGGGCGTGGCTAGCGCCGGGGCCGGTCAGCCACATGGGGCGTGGCCTAATGAGGACTCCGTCTTGCCACTCAGGGGCGTGGCCTAAGCGAGCCGCCCTTATGTTATCTGAAGGCAAGGCCTCAGGTCGGTTGGGGGCGTGGCCAGAGCAGGGGGAAGGTATGTCATTTGGGGGCGTGGCCTAAGCGAGAAGCCCTTATACCATCTGAAGGCAAGGCCTAAAGTGGAGAAGTCCTGTCGCTTGGGGCGTGGCCTAAGGTGGACCAGTCCTGTCGTTTGGGGGCGTGGCCTAAGGCGGAGCAGGCCTGTCGTTTGGGGGCGTGGCCTAAGGGGAGCAATGCTGACGGGGGGCTTCTGTGAAGAATTCCTTCTCTCAGGTGAGTAGTTACAATGTCTTCCCTGACACCAGCAGCCCGGGTTGCATCGTGGGTTCGTACCCAGCGTTAGGTACTGGGGTGAATTCTGATCTCCTCTGTGTCTGGGTTGAGGCGATGTTAACTTGTGGACCCTCATCACAACCTGCTTCCTCAGGTGTGATGAAGAGCGGAACGTGGAAAGTGCGAACGCACCTGAAGGCTAGAGAGCGCAGCGCAGGGCTGCCAATGTGCTGGAAGCCTCGCTCGGTGCTGTTAGCGGTGTCCAGAGCGCTGCGCACAGCCGGCACTGCTGATCAGTTAGCAAACTCCTGGCAGGTGGGAAGGCCGTGTGTGTGTGCGTGTGCGTGTGTGTCTGTGCTTGTGTCTGTGTGTTTGTGTGTGTTTGTGTGTCTGTGTGTTTGTGTGTGTCTCTGTGTGTGTGTATGTTTGTGTGTCTGTGTATGAGTGTGTGCATGTGTGTCTGTGTATGAGTGTGTGCATGTGTGTGTCTCTGTGTGCGTGTGTGTCTGTGTGTGTTTGTGATTGTGTGTCTGTGTGTCTCTGTGTGTGTTTGTGTGTCTGTGTGTATGAGTGTGTGCATGTGTGTATCTGTGTGTGTGAGTGTGCATGTGTGTGTCTGTGAGGGTATGCATGTGTCTGTGAGTGTGTGCATGTGTGTATCTGTGAGTGTGTGCGTGTGTCTGTGTATGTGTGTGTGTCTCTGTGTGTGTATGAGTGTGTGCGTGTGAGTTTCTGTGTGAGTGTGTGTGTCTTGTATGAGTGTCTGTGTGTGTCTGTATGAGTGTATGCATGTGTCTGTGTGTCTCTGTGTGTGTGTGTCTGTGTATGTGAGTGTGTCTCTGTGTGTGTGTGCATGTGTGTGTCTGTGTGAGTGTGTGTGTCTGTGAGTGTGTGTCTCTGTGTGTGTGTCTGTGTGTGAATGTGTGTGTCTGTGTGTGAGTCTGTGTGTGTGTCTCTGTGTGAGTGTGTGTCTGTTTGTGCATGAGTGTCTGTGTGTGTGTCTGTGTGTGTGTGAATGTGTGTGTGTGTCTGTGAGTCTCTGTGTGAGTGTGAGTGTGTCTCTGTGTGTGTGTGTCTGTGTGTGTGAGTGTGTCTCTGTGTGTGCATGTGAGTCTCTGTGTGAGTCTGTGTGAGTGTGTGTGTCTGTGAGTGTGTGTGTCTGTGTGTGTGTCTGTGTGTGAATGTGTGTGTCTCTGTGTGAGTGTGTGTCTGTGTTTGCATGAGTGTCTGTGTGTGTCTGTGTGTGTGTGAATGTGTGTGTGTGTCTGAGTCTCTGTGTGAGTGTGAGTGTGTCTCTGTGTGTCTGTGAGTCTCTGTGTGTCTGTGTGTGTCTCTGTGTCTGTGTGTCTGTGTCTCTGTGTGTGTGTGTCTCTGTGTGTGTGTCTGTGAGTCTCTGTGTGTGTCTGTGTGTGTCTGAGTCTGTGTCTGTGTGTGTGTGTCTGAGTCTCTGTGTGTCTGTGTGAGTCTCTGTGTCTGTGTGTGTGTGTCTCTGTGTGTGTCTGTGAGTCTCTGTGTGTCTGTGTCTGAGTCTGTGTGTGTGTCTGAGTCTCTGTGTGTGTCTGTGTGTCTCTCTCTGTGTGTGAGTCTGTGTGTGTGTGTCTGTGTGTGTCTGTGTGTGTGTGTGAGAGTCTCTGTGTGTGTCTGTGTGTGTGTGAGTCTGTGTGTGTGTGTGCATGTGAGTGTCTGTGTGTGTGTCTGTGTGTGTGAATGTGTGTGTCTGTGTGTGTCTCTGTGTGTGTGTCTCTGTGTGTGTGTGCATGTGAGTGTCTGTGTGTCTCTGTGTGTGTGTGTCTGTGTGTGTCTGAGTCTCTGTGTGTGTGTCTGTGAGTCTGTGTCTGTGAGTCTGTGTCTGTGTGAGTGTGTGTGTCTCTGTGTGTGTGTCTGAGTGTGTGCGTGTGTGTATGTGTGTGTGTCTCTGTGTGTATGAGTGTGTGCGTGTGAGTCTCTGTCTTGTATGAGTGTGTGTGTCTGTGTATGAGTGTGTGCATGTATGTGTCTGTGTCTATGTGTGTGCGTGTGTCTGTATGAGTGTGTGCATGTGAGTGTGTGTGAGTCTGTGTGTGTGTCTGAGTGTGTGTCTCTGTGTGTGTGTCTGTGTGTCTCTGTGTGTGTGTCTGTGTGTGTCTCTGTGTGTGTGTCTCTGTGTGTGTGTGCATGTGAGTGTGTGTGTGAGTGTCTGTGAGTGTGTGTGTGTCTGTGTGTGTGTCTGTGTGTCTGTCTGTCTGTGTGTGTCTGTGTGTGTGTGTGTCTGTCTCTGTGTGTGAGTCTGTGTGTGTGTCTGTGTGTGTGTGTGTCTGTCTGTCTGTGTGTGTGTCTGTGTGTCTGTCTCTGTGTGTGAGCCTGAGTGTGAGTGTGTGAGTGTGTGCATGTGTCTGTGAGTGTGTGTGTGTGTGAGTGTGTGCGTGTGTGAGTGTGTGCGTGTGAGTGTGTGAGTGTGTGCGTGTGTGCGTGTGTGAGTGTGTGCGTGTGTGAGTGTGTGTGAGTGTGTGTGCATGTGTCTGTGAGTGTGTGCGTGTGTCTGTGTGTGAGTGTGAGTGTGTGCGTGTGTGCGTGTGTGTCTGTGAGTGTGTGAGTGTGTGAGTGTGTGTGCGTGTGTCTGTGAGTGTGTGCGTGTGTGAGTGTGTGTGCATGTGTCTGTGAGTGTGAGTGTGTGTGTGTGAGTGTGTGCGTGTGTCTGTGAGTGTGTGCGTGTGTGCGTGTGTCTGTGAGTGTGTGCATGTGTGTGCGTGTGTCTGTGTGTCTGAGTGTGTGAGTGTGTGAGTGTGTGTGCGTGTGTGCGTGTGTGAGTGTGTGCGTGTGTCTGTGAGTGTGTGCGTGTGTCTGTGAGTGTGTGAGTGTGTGCGTGTGTGAGTGTGTGAGTGTGTGAGTGTGTGCGTGTGTCTGTGAGTGTGTGCGTGTGTCTGTGAGTGTGTGAGTGTGTGCGTGTGTGAGTGTGTGAGTGTGTGAGTGTGTGCGTGTGTCTGTGAGTGTGTGCGTGTGTCTGTGAGTGTGTGCGTGTGTCTGTGAGTGTGTGCGTGTGTCTGTGAGTGTGTGCGTGTGTCTGTGTGAGTGTGTGTCTGTGTGTGTGCGTGTGTGCGTGTGTGCGTGTGTCTGTGAGTGTGTGCGTGTGTCTGTGAGTGTGTGAGTGTGTGCGTGTGTGCGTGTGTCTGTGAGTGTGTGAGTGTGTGCGTGTGTGCGTGTGTGCGTGTGTCTGTGAGTGTGTGCGTGTGTCTGTGAGTGTGTGAGTGTGTGCGTGTGTCTGTGAGTGTGTGCGTGTGTCTGTGAGTGTGTGCGTGTGTCTGTGTGAGTGTGTGTCTGTGTGTGTGCGTGTGTGCGTGTGTGCGTGTGTGTGTGAGTGTGTGCGTGTGTCTGTGAGTGTGTGAGTGTGTGCGTGTGTGCGTGTGTCTGTGAGTGTGTGAGTGTGTGAGTGTGTGCGTGTGTCTGTGAGTGTGTGCGTGTGTGCGTGAGTGCGGTACCGAGTCACAGCCTCCGTCTGCGGGTCTGGGGTTTCTCCGCCATCCTGATTTCAGGACAGCATCCTTTCTCCACCGCTCAGTGCGCCCGGGACCCCGACGCCCGTGAGCTGAGGACGGGGGCGGGCTCCGGTCTCCATGGAGACGGGGGCGGGCTCCGGTCTCCATGGAGACGGGGGCGGGGGAGCGCCCGGGAGCCGGGCCAGGCCGCGCAGCGGACCCGCGACCCCGCGTGGGAGCCGTTTGACCCCCGTTGCCGGGGCTCAGAAGAGGGGTTTACGGGAGGAAGCGGGACCTCGTGCCCTCCACACAGGGCTGAGCCCCGGGGTCCGGCGCCCCAGGCAGCGCCCTTTGCCCTGACGCGGGCGGCCGCGGCGCCGTCCTAACCGCTGAGCGGCTCCCGCCCGGCGGGCGGCGCTTCCCCTTTAAGACGGGCGGGCGCGGCGGCGGCGCTTCCCCTTTAAGGCGGGCGGGCGCGGGACGCCTCCCGGTCCCGCCCCCTGGACGTCACGCGAGGCCCCGCCCCCTGGACGTCACGCGAGGCCCCGCCCCCGGCAACAGCTTCCGCCCGAGCGCGGCGGCGCGCGCAGCGGCGCAGGCCCCGCCCCGCCCCGCGCCCGCCCAGGTGTCGCGGGTCGTTGGCCGCGGTGAGCGCGGGGCCGGGCGGGGGGGGGGGGGGCGCGAGGCGGGGGGGGGGGGGGGAGGAGCCGCCCCGCGCCCGCCCCGCGTCCGACCCCGGCCCGCGTGTCTCCCCAGAGCCCGCTGCGGTCACCATGGCGATGCGGGAGCTGGTGGAGGGCGAGTGCGGGGCCGCCAACCCGCTGATGCAGCTGGCCAGACACTTCACCCACGACAAGGCCCTGCGCCAGGACGGACTGCGGCCCGGGCCCTGGCCGCCCGGGGCCCCCGCGCCCGACACGGTGAGCACCGAGCACCCAGCACCGCGGGGGGATCACAGCCACCACCGAGCACAGCACCGAGCACCCAGCACCGCGGGGGGGATCACAGCCACCACCGAGCACCCAGCACCGCGGGGGAGATCACAGCCAGCACCGAGCACCCAGCACCGCAGGGGGATCACAGCCACCACCGAGCACAGCACCGCGGGGGGGATCACAGCCACCACCGAGCACCCAGCACCGAGCACCCAGCACTGCGGGAGGGATCACAGCCAGCACCGAGCACCCAGCACCGCGGGGGGGAGATCACAGCCACCACCGAGCACCCAGCACTGCGGGGGGGAATCACAGCCAGCACCGAGCACCCAGCACTGCGGGGGGATCACAGCCACCACCGAGCACAGCACCGAGCACCCAGCACCGAGCATCCAGCACCGCGGGGGGATCACAGCCACCACCGAGCACCCAGCACCGCGGGGGGGAGATCACAGCCACCACCGAGCACCCAGCACCGAGCACCCAGCACTGCGGGGGATCACAGCCACCACCGAGCACCCAGCACTGCGGGGGGGGGATCACAGCCACCACCGAGCACCCAGCACTGCGGGGGGGAATCACAGCCACCACCGAGCACAGCACCGAGCACCCAGCACTGCGGGGGGATCACAGCCACCACCGAGCACAGCACTGCGGGGGGGGAATCACAGCCAGCACCGAGCACCCAGCACCGAGCACCCAGCACTGCGGGGGGGATCACAGCCACCACCGAGCACAGCACCGAGCACCCAGCACTGCGGGGGGGGATCACAGCCACCACCGAGCACCCAGCACCGAGCACCCAGCACTGCGGGGGGGATCACAGCCACCACCGAGCACAGCACTGCGGGGGGAATCACAGCTACCACCGAGCACAGCACTGCGGGGGGAATCACAGCTACCACCGAGCACCCAGCACTGCGGGGGGGGGAGATCACAGCCACCACCGAGCACCCAGCACTGCAGGGGGGGAAATCACAGCCACCACCGAGCACCCAGCACTGCGGGGGGGGATCACAGCCACCACCGAGCACCCAGCATCGAGCACCCAGCACTGCAGGGGGGATCACAGCTACCACCGAGCACCCAGCACTGCGGGGGGGGAGATCACAGCCAGCACCGAGCACCCAGCACCGAGCACCCAGCACTGCGGGGGATCACAGCCACCACCGAGCACAGCACTGCGGGGGGGGGGGAAATCACAGCTACCACCGAGCACAGCACTGCGGGGGGAATCACAGCTACCACCGAGCACCCAGCACTGCGGGGGGGGGGAGATCACAGCCACCACCGAGCACCCAGCACTGCAGGGGGAGGAATCACAGCCACCACCGAGCACCCAGCACTGCGGGGGGGATCACAGCCACCACCGAGCACCCAGCATCGAGCACCCAGCACTGCAGGGGGGGATCACAGCTACCACCGAGCACCCAGCACTGCGGGGGGGGGAGATCACAGCCAGCACCCAGCACCCAGCACCGAGCACCCAGCACTGCGGGGGATCACAGCCACCACCGAGCACAGCACTGCGGGGGGGGAGGATCACAGCCACCACCGAGCACCCAGCACTGCAGGGGGGGAATCACAGTCACCACCGAGCACCCAGCACCGAGCACCCAGCACTGCGGGGGGATCACAGCCACCACCGAGCACCCAGCACTGCAGGGGGGGGATCACAGCCACCACCGAGCACAGCACTACAGGGGGGAGGATCACAGCCACCACCGAGCACCCAGCACTGCAGGGGGGTGAGATCACAGCCAGCACCGAGCACCCAGCACTGCGGGGGGATCACAGCCACCACCAAGCACAGCACTGCAGGGGGGGGAGGATCACAGCCACCACCGAGCACCCAGCACTGCAGGGGGGGATCACAGCCACCACCGAGCGCCCAGCACCGAGCACCCGGCACTACAGGGGAGGGAGATCACAGCCACCACTGAGCACCCAGCACTGCGGGGGGGGGGGAATCACAGCCACCACCGAGCACAGCACTGCGGGGGGGGATCACAGCCACCACCGAGCACCCAGCACTGCGGGGGGGATCACAGCCACCACCGAGCACCCAGCACTGCAGGGGGGGAGATCACAGCCACCACCGAGCGCCCAGCACCGAGCACCCAGCACTGCGGGGGGGAGATCACAGCCACCACCAAGCACCCAGCACCGAGCACCCAGCACTGCGGGGGGGAGATCACAGCCACCACCAAGCACCCAGCACCGAGCACCCAGCACTGCGGGGGGGGGATCACAGCCACCACCGAGCACAGCACTGCGGGGGGGGATCACAGCCACCACCGAGCACCCAGCACCGAGCACCCAGCACTGCAGGGGGGGATCACAGCCACCACCGAGCGCCGAGCATTACGGGAGGGGAGATCACAGCCACCGCTGAGCACCTAGCCCTGTGGAGGTGGCAGCCCTGGGGCTTGAACTCGGGGCCTGGGTGCTGTCCCTGAGCTCAGGGCTGGGGCTCTACCACTTGAGCCACAGCGCCACTTCCGGTTTTCTGGTGGTTCCTTGGAGATCAGAGTCTCACGGCCTTTCCTGCTGGGGCTGGCTTTGAACCACAATCCTCAGATCTCAGCCTCCTGAGTAGCTGGGATTACAGGCATGAGCCACTGGCCCCTGGCTACCATGGTCTCTTTACTGCCCTGTTTTCTTCCTTTCATTTCTGGGACTTGAACTCAGGGCCTAGGCCCTGTCTCTGAGCTTTTTTTTAAATTTAAGGCTGGTGCTCTACCACTTGAGCCACAGCGCCACTTCCAGCTTTTTGCTGGCTCATTGGAGATAACAAGTCTCATGGAGTTACTGCTCCGGCTGGCTTTGAACCGCGATCCTCACCTTTCAGCCTCCTGAGTCGCTGGGATGGCAGGCGGGAGACACAGACACTGGACTTGCTCTGGTTTGGGTTTTTGTTGTGTTGATTTTGAGATCGGTATTGAAATGTGGTCAAGCCTCAGCTGAGGGCCGGGGCGTCAGTTCTCAAATTGGGGAGTCAGGACGGGTGGCCGTGTTTGTGAGCCCTGGGACACAGAGCCGGGGAAGGAACCCTGAGCAAGCTCCGGCCTCCTTGTGTTTACTTAGGCTTCCAGAACCTTCTGTCTCGCAGCTTTTTTGTTGTTGTTGTTGTTCCAGCCAAGTAGGACAAAGTCCTAGGGGTTGAGACAGGAGCTCGGTGCCCTTTGTCACCCGCTGAGGCCGTTTAGAGGCTGCAGGCTGTGGCCTCTTCCAGGGCCTCGTTTGTGGCACGCGGCGGGGCGTGGTAGTGCACGCCTGTCATGGCAGAGGCTGACTGCAGCTCAGGATGCCTCCCGGAGGCCGGCTGGGCAGGGTTTGCCTCTGGGGGCCTCGTTGGCGCATGCTCCCTGACTGAGCGCCATCTCCCCGCAGACGCCCCGCCGGCCTCCCCCGCCCGCTGGGCCGAGGAGTACCTGCAGCAGTCGGAGGAGAAGCTGTGGCTGGGGGAGCCCGAGGGCTCGGCCGCCTCCGAGCGCTGGTAAGGGGCTCGCGGCTGCCACCTGCCGGGCGCGGGGCGCAATGGTCGGACGCTCCCGCAGGGCCGCGCGGGCTGGGGCTGGGCTGGGCCCGTGGGCTGGGCTGGGCTGGGGCTGGGCTGGGCTGGGCTGGGCTGGGCCCGTGGGCTGGGGCTGGGGCTGGGCTGGGGCTGGGCTGGGCCCCTGGGCTGGGGCTGGGCTGGGCTGGGCTGGGCCCGTGGGCTGGGGCTGGGGCTGGGCTGGGGCTGGGCTGGGCTGGACCCCTTGGGCTGGGGCTGGGCTGGGCTGGGCCCCTGGGCTGGGCTGGGCCCCTGGGCTGGGGCTGGGGCTGGGCTGGGCCCGTGGGCTGGGCTGGGGCTGGGCTGGGCCCGTGGGCTGGGCTGGGGCTGGGCTGGGCTGGGCCCGTGGGCTGGGCTGGGGCTGGGCTGGGCCCCTTGGGCTGGGCTGGGGCGGGGCTGGGGCTGGGCCCGTGGGCTGGGCTGGGGCTGGGCTGGGGCTGGGGCTGGGCCCGTGGGCTGGGCTGGGCTGGGCCCGTGGGCTGGGCTGGGCCTGGGCTGGGCTGGGCTGGGGCTGGGGCTGGGCCCGTGGGCTGGGCTGGGCTGGGCCCGTGGGCTGGGCTGGGGCTGGGCTGGGCTAGGGCTGGGCTGGGGCTGGGCTGGGCTGGGCCCCGTGGGCTGGGCCTGGGCTGGGCTGGGCCCGTGGGCTGGGGCTGGGCCCGTGGGCTGGGCCTGGGCTGCAGCTGGGCCGCCGTCGGACGCCCCCCTTCCTCCCCTAGGTATGACGAGTACCGCCCCAGGGGTTCCTGAGGCCTATGGGGTCTGGCGGAGAGGCAGAGAGGCCGGCAGGGAGGTCAGGAGGCTGGTGGAGAGCTGAAAGGCCTGCAGAGACATGCCACCTCTCCCTGCACTTTTTCTTCTCCCTTCACCCGAGACTCTGTCCCCCTATCTGGTGGTCCCATCCCCTAGCCCGTGGGCATCCCCTTATCAGGCAGCCTGCCCCCAGCCCCTGCTGCGCCCATCCCTGACCCCACCCTGATCCCGCCCTGCCCGCAGGGGTGGAGGGAGGGGCATGGTAGTGATGTCAGCCCAGTTCGACCTGCTGGTTCTCACCAGCTGAGACCCACGGGGGACGTGGCTCAGTGTGAAGATGCCTGCCCAGCTTGAGGGAGGCCCAGGGAGGCAGCACCATTTCACGGTCCTAACTCCAGACAGAATTCCTGGTGAATAAGACCTAGAGACTGCAGAGTAAAGGTCCTAATTCCCACCCTAGGCCTTGCCGAGGACGTGACAGAGTGCACTGAACACGGAACGGACTGCCAACAGACAGATTCCGAGTTAGCCCAGACGAGGAACCGGTCAGAACATGAAGCAGGCCTGGACAGTGAGCACAGTCAGACTCCAAGCAGAGTCGCAGCAGGCCTAGACTTGGTGCAGGCCCAGAAAAGCAGTGGATCGGGACTTTGACTCCAAGGAGGTGCAGGAACAGGCCTGGAGCTGGAGCAGGCCAGACCTGGAGCAAGCCCTGACTCGGAGCAGGGCCCGACTCGGAGCAGACCCAGACCCCCGAGCCCCGTTGAGATGCGGAGCTGGCAGTGAGCAAGGTCCATCACAGAATGCACGTGCCGCCATGGGCCCTGCCCAGATCTGCGCTGGGAGAAAGGCGGGAGTTGGGCCGGAAGTGGTCTTTAAGGGGGGCGGGGCGGACGCTGGCGGTGACTGGTGCTCTGCAGGACTCAGGACCATTCTCAGATCACAACCCCACAAACCCGGGCCCTGCACTGCACACCTCCCTGCTCTTCCCCACTCCTCTCATGCTCTGCTCCTCCCACAAAGCCAGAGGGTTCTCTAGGTGTGCACACTGCTCCTGTCCTCCAGGCCAGGGGTGCAGTGACCACTGATTGCCACCAGATGGTGCTCTAGGTGTGTTCACTGTCCTCTTCTCAGGTGGGGGGGGGTGCAGTGACCACTGATTGCCACCAGATGGTGCTCTAGGTGTGTTCACTGTCCTCTTCTTCTCAGGTGGGGGGGGGGGGGTTGCAGTGACCACTGATTGCCACCAGATGGTGCTCTAGGTGTGCGCACGGTCCTCCTCGGGACGCAAGCCCCGCCCCCTGCACTGCTCTCCTCTGCTCCCTTGCCACACCCCTCCTGTGCTCTGCTCTTCCACAAGCCCCGCCCTGGACCGCTCCCTTCCTGCTCCTGCCCACCCTGCAGTGCTCCCCTCCTCCTCCTAACCTGTAGCTGCAGCTACTTCTTCCCAGGACACAGGAAAACTTGAAGCCCTGAGGAAGTGTCCCAAAGCCTCAGTGCCCTGAGACAGAAGAGCGCACTGGGATGGGGGGTTGGGCTCTGGGTTGCAGGCCGTCCCTGCCGTGGGACGGGGTTGCCATGGTCACCGCGGTTGCCACGCAACCGGCCCTGGTGGGTTGACGTCGGGCTCCTTCCTCCCGGCCCAGCGCCGGCGTCTCTGCGTCATCGCGGGTCACGGCCGCCCGCCAGCCCCGGCTCAGGACGCAGGGCGCAGGCGCAGGCGCGTCCTTCTAAGCCACGCCTCCCAGCGGGGCTAGGGCGCGCCACGCCTCGGCCCACGCTCGCTGCGCATGCGCGCGTCCATCTGAACGTGAACTCCGGCGCCCACCCAGCGCCACGCAGGGGCCGGGGCTCCACGACGCCTCCGAGTCACGAGCCGGCGCCGGCGGCCCCGCCCGTCACCCGGCCACGCGGGAGGCTGGGGTCTGAGGTCGCGGGTTCAAAGCCAGCCTGGGCGGGAAAGCCCGGAGACCCATCTCCAGTGGAACCCGCTCGTGTGTGCCGAGCGACGGCGCCTGGGACCCGGGTTCAAGCCCCACGACCGACAAGAGACGCACAGTTCACACTTTTATTTCGGTCATTTGCACACGTTCATGTAGAGAAAAATAAACTCCCGGCGGCGCGGGCCGCGACCTTCGGAGTCCGTGATCGCGGGCGGCGGAGTCCAGGCCGGCCAGAACCTTCTAGAAGCTCCTTCGGCCTTCGGGGCCGAGCGGGTCGGAGACACTTGCACCGCCCTCCGGGCCGCCGTGGCCGCGGCGGGGGCCGCGCCCGGGGACGCCACTTAGTCCCGGCCGGGCGCGTTCCAGCACCCGGGGAACCTGCAGGGGCCCCGACATCCCGGCCCCACCCCCACCATCTCCCTCCTGACAGCGGAGGGGCGCAGGGCAGGCGCACCCCACGCCACTGGCCGCGCCCCCGAAGTCCCAGAGCAGCACCGAGGGCGGGCGAGCGGGTGGCCACCCGCGATCGGGGCCGGGCGGGTCAGTGCGGCAGGCCGAACATGTCCAGCAGCGCGGGCAGGTCGCGCGCGTCCGCGGCGCCGTAGGCCTCGCTGCGGCCCAGCATGGACAGCGCCAGGCGCAGCGTGCTCCAGATGTTCTCCGACATGGCGCCCGCGCCGCGGGCCGCGCCCGGCCGGCTCTGCAGGCTCAGCGCCTCCAGGAAGTGCTCCACCGCCTCCCTGCGGGGGCCGCGGTCAGGGGGGGAGAGCATCCCAGACCCCCACGCCCGGGGCCCGGCCCGCCCCGCCCCGCCCCGCCCGCTCACCGGTGCGCCCCGAGGTTGATGCAGCTGATGCCCAGGTTGTAGCGCGAGCGCACGTAGCCCGGCTGCAGCTCGAGCGCGCGGCGGTACGCGGCCACCGCCTCCTCGCTCTGGTTCCCGTTGGCCAGCGTGGCGCCCAGCTTGTTCCACAGCAGGTAGTCCTGGGGAGGGGAGGCGGGGCTGGGGGCGCCGACCACGGGGAGGGGGCTGGGGGCGCCGACCACGGGGGGGGGCTGGGGGCGCCGACCACGGGGAGGGGGGGCTGGGGGCGCCGACCACGGGGAGGGGGGGGCTGGGAGCGCCGATCACGGGGGGGGGGGGGGGCTGGGGGCCCGCCCCACCCCGCCCCGCGGTCACTCACGTCCGGGCGCGACGCCCAGCGCGGCCGTGAAGCAGTCCACCGCCTTGTCGTAGTCGCCGCTGAGGTTGAAGAGCACGCCCAGGCCGCACTGCACGTCGGGGTCGATGGCCGCCGGGTCCTGGCGCACGGCGGCCAGGAACAGCTCCTTCACCTCCGTGAACAGCGAGCTGCGGGAACCGGGCGGAGCGGGGCGGTGAGCGCACCCGGGCGGGCTGGGGCAGCCTCGCCTCCGCGCCCCACGGCCCCACCCCGCCCCGGACAACAGGGAGCCCACCCCTGGCCCCGCCCACACCCGCTGGGATAGCAGCGAGCCCCGCCCCCGCCACGCCCCCCGCCACAACCTGCACTCAAACAGCACCCCTGGCCCCGCCCACACTGACAGCAGCGAGCCCCCGGCCCGCACTCACTCGGACAGCAGCGAGCCCACCGTGCGCCGGCCCCGCCCCCCCCCCCCACGATCCAGGCCCCGCCCCCGGCCCGCACTCACTCGGACAGCAGCGAGCCCACCGTGCGCCGGCCCCCGCCCCCCCCCCGGATCCAGGCCCCGCCCCCGGCGCCCCGGCCCCGCCCCCGGCCCGCACTCACTCGGACAGCAGCGAGCCCACCGTGCGCCGGCCCCGCCCCCCCCCCCCGGATCCAGGCCCCGCCCCCGGCGCCCCGGCCCCGCCCCCGGCCCGCACTCACTCGGACAGCAGCGAGCCCACGGTGTGCCGGCCCCGCCCCCGATCCAGGCCCCGCCCCCGGCGCCCCGCCCCCGGCCCGCACTCACTCGGACAGCAGCGAGCCCACGGTGCGCCGGCCCCGCCCCCCCCCCCCCCCCCCCCCCCGATCCAGGCCCCGCCCCCGGCGCCCCGCCCCCGGCCCGCACTCACTCGGACAGCAGCGAGCCCACGGTGCGCCGGCCCTGCGCCGGGCCCGCGGCGCCCGCGCCCTCGGGCAGCAGGTGCGTGTAGGCCGGGTGGTGGCGCAGCCAGTCCCGCAGCGCCTCGCACGCCTGCCGCGGCAGGGACTCGTTGGTGAAGCTCACGGCCAGCGCCATCAGCGCCGTGCGGTTGTCGGGCCGCAGCTCCAGGCACCTGTGCGGGGCGGGCGGGGTGCGTGGGCCTGGGGCGGGGGGCGGGGCGCGTGGGCCTGGGGCGGGGGGCGGGGCGCGTGGGCCTGGGGCGGGGCCCGTGGGCCTGGGGGGCGGGGCGCGTGGGCCTGGCGCGTGGGCCTGGGGGGCGGGGTGCGTGGGCCTGGGGCGGGGGGCGGGGCGCGTGGGCCTGGGGCGGGGGGCGGGGCGCGTGGGCCTGGGGGGGGCGGGGCGCGTGGGCCGGGAGGGCGGGGCGCCTGGGCCTGGGGGGGGCGGGGTGCGTCGGCCTGGGGCGGGGGGGCGGGGCGCGTGGGCCTGGGGGGGCGGGGCGCGTGGGCCTGGGGGGGCGGGGCGCGTCGGCCTGGGGCGGGGCGGGGCGGGGCGGGGGGCGGGGGGGGGGGGTCCCCGCGCTCCGATCGCTGGCCCGGCCCGAGGCAGGGCAAGGTGAGGACGCCAGGGGGGGGGGGGAGGAGGACACGACAGTGCAGGGCGTCCGTCCCGGGGACCCCCACCCCCGCCCCGCACCTGCGCAGCGCGCTGATGGCCAGCAGCTCCTGCTCGTTCTCCGCCTGCGTGGTGCCCAGGTACTGCCAGGCCTGCGGCGGGGGTGAGGGGGGGTGCGGGGGGGTGAGGGGGCCGCCGCCCTCCCCCATCCTCCTCCCCCGTCCTCCTCCCCCCTCTCACCATCCTCCCCCTCCCCCTCCCATCCTCCCCCCTCTCACCATCCTCCCCCTCCCCCTCCTCCTCCCATCCTCCCCCCTCTCCGTCCTCCCCGTCTCCGTCCTCCCTCACCTCGGCGTGCTCCGGGTCCTGCTGCACGGCCGCCTCGAAGAGCAGCGCGGCGTTGGGCAGGTCGCCATCGCGCAGCCGCCGCAGCCCCTCCTCGAAGGCCCCGGGGTGCTCGCGCAGCGGGTTCTCTTCCTCGAACTCGTACCCCTGTGGAGGCCGGGCAGGGGGAGGCCCGCTCAGGGAGGCCGGGCAGGGGGAGGCCGGGCGGGGGAAGGCAGGGCAAGGGGGGGAGGCTGGGCGAGGGGGGCGAGGCTGGGCAGGGAGGTCCGCTCAGGGAGGCCGGGCAGGGGGAGGCCAGGCAGGGTTGGGGGGAGGCAATGGGGGAGGAGGCCCGCTCAGAGAGGCCAGGCCAGGGGGAGGCTGAGTGGAGAGGCCGACTCAGAAAGGCTGGGACACAGCCTGCCATGGAGATGGTCTTGGCACAAAGCCAGTTCAATGGCCTGGCTCAGGTGGGAGAGCACCAGCCCTGACAGAAAGCCAAGCCAGAGCTCAAGGAGCTGCACTGGAGGCTCTGGACGGGCGGCACGTGTGCACGTGTGCATGTGTGCGTGTGCGTGTGTGCACGAATGCATGCACGAAGTCACTGGTGCCCGGATTCTTGCTCAGCTGGGACCTACTGTCACTGGAATTCCCGCCACATCTACAAACCCTCATGTGAACCCGAAACGAGACTCAGACACCAGCGCCTCCCCGTCCACACATTTCTTGTTGGCTGTGTTGTGTGGGCCCCGGGGCTTGAACTCAGGGCCTGGACATTGCCCAGAGCTTTTTCTCCCAAGGCTAGCGCTCTACCCCTGGAGCCACAGCTCCATTTCTGGCTTTTTGGTGGTTCGCTGGAGATAAAGAGGCTCACAGATTTTCCTGCCCGGCTGAGTTCAAACTGCCATCCTCAGATCTCAGCCTTCTGAGCAGCTGGGATTACAGGCGTGAGCACCGGCACTCAGTGTATGTGTTCTTAACCCACTACACACACAAACCCCCTTTACTGCAGTTACGCAGCAAACCATTATGACGTGACAAAAGTGATCTTATTAACTGTCCATCTCCAAAGAAAGCATGTGCTCTATACACCGTCAAAGCAGAGAGAGCCAAAGGAGGAGGAACACTTCTTTCAAAAAAAACCCAAACCCGCGGGTGGCTCCCGCCTGTCATCCCAGCTACTCAGGAGGCTGAGATCTGAGGATCGCGGTTCAAAGCCAGCCCGGGCAGGAAAGTCCATGAGACTCTGATCTCTAATGAACCACTCAGAAAACCAGAAGTGGCGCTGTGGCTCAAGTGGTAGAGCGCCCGCCTTGAGCTGAAGAGCTGAGGGACAGCGCCCAGGCCCAGAGTTCAGGCCCCACGACTGACCAAAAAAACAAACAAACAAGAATTCAAATTCAGGCCAGGCATGGTGGGGCACACCTGTAATCCCAGCCGCTCAAGGAGACTCACTGTTTGAAGCCAGCAGCAAAGTCCAGGCGACTCTTTACAATTCAGCACCAAAAAAGCCCCAAGTAGAGCTGGGGCTCCAGTGGAAAATCAAAGCTCAGGTCCTGAGTTCAAGCCCCAGGACTGGCTCAGATTCCGAGTGGACATCACGGGAGGAAATGGCACTCCTACCTTGTCATAGGACGCAGCCGTGAGGTCGTCGTAGTCGGTGAGCCAGGGGTGGGACTCGGCCTCCCGCTTGCTCATCTCCTCAAGCTCCGCCTGCAGCTTGTCCCAGAAATCCACATCCGACTGCAAGGAAGGGGAGGCAGAGAGCGGAGGTTCTGCAGGCCAAGGCCCCGCGGGCCTGGCCAAGCCCACGGCGGCCGGGCGGCAGACGCGCTCCCGGCGCCATCGCGCCGTGCGTGCACGGGGAATATTACTCAGTCGGAAAAAAGGAAACGAGTGGAGAAAAGCCCAGGGGCAGCGCCCAGGCCCCGAGTGCAAGCCCCACGACCAGAGGGAGAAAAGAAAACTAACTCTTCTGAAGATGGTTTGCAAATAAGGAAATAAGATGGGAGGAAATAAGTGCAGAAAAAAATGAATCTGCTCCAAGTACATAATAGGCACGTATAGAAATAGCACGGTGAGCCGGGCGCGGTGGCTCCCGCCTGTCATCCCAGCTACTCGGGAGGCTGAGATCGGAGGATCACGGTTCAAAGCCAGCCCGGGCAGGAAAGTCCGTGAGACTCTGATCTCCGATAAACCACCAGAACACACACACAAATTAAGATTAGAAAAAATAACAACCCAATGCCGCCGCCCCCCACTCCAGCTCTTCAATCTGTTCAGGAATGGAAGGAAAAGCGATTTCCCACATTCCCATTTGGTCACTTAAGAGAACTCTGGGAATACACTGCTTTGTTGCTGGTTCTTTTTAGGCTGGTCCTGGGGCTTGAACTCAGGGCGCTGTCCCTGAGCTTTTTGTTCAAGGCTGGTGCTCAACCACTTGAGCCACAGCGCCACTCCTGGCTTTTTTTCTGGTGGTTCATGGGAGAGAAGAGTCTCACGGACTTTCCTGTCCTGGGCTGGCTTTGAACAGCGATCCTCATGCCTCAGCCTCCTGAGCAGCTGGGATGGCAGGCGGGAGCTGCGGTACCCTGCCCAGGGCCTGTGTGACTCTGGCCCCTGGCGCGGCGGGCGGATGGAGCTGAGGGCATCTGCTCTGACCCAAGCGGGGACTACAGGACGGGGGCTCTCACCTCTATGGCTGACTTGGCTTGCTCAAACTCCTTGTCTAGAGTTGCCGCGGCCTTCGCTGGCCTGGTGAACTGGTCGACCCACGCGTCAGAGGTGGCCTGCAAACAGGAAGAGCAGTAAATGCCACCTGTGAATCCTCACCCACTGCCCACGCTTCCAGAACCTTCTCCAGGGCAAAGCAGCCTCCACTCAGGACCTGAGCCTCCCGCACAAACTCCCCTCTCGCCAGCTGGAGACCACGGAAGCCGGGGCCTGGGGACTCCAGCTAGCTCGGAAGTGGGACTGGCAGACACCACAGCCATGATCTTACCTGCTGCTGCATAAACTCGGCCGCCCACTGCTCGGCCTGCACGCGGCCGGACCCCGCCACTGACTCCAGGGCCACCTGGCCTTCGCCGATCTGCCGCACGAACTTCAGGAACTAGAGCACGGAGACACAGATGGACACCGCGTGGCACGGGCCCGCTGCCCAGCCCCCGGGCGCCCGGCGCCCGTCCCTGACCTCCTGGCACCTGCTCACCCGGCCCACAGCGCCACGGGCCCGAGCGGATGCTCCCACCTGTCAGCCTAGCTTCTCGCGAGGCTGAGCGCTGAGGATCCTGATTGGAGGCCCGCGGGAATGGAAAAGGCTGAGCGGCTCGTGGCAACAGTGAAGCAGCGAAACAAAAACCCCAAAGCATGCAGTGCAGCCGTGGCTCCAAAAAGCCAAGTGGGAAAGCTTGGAGGCTTAATACCAGAACACACACGCGCACGCACGCACACGCAAATGCAGAGGACCAAAATAAAAGCATTTCAGCCTCTAAAGATCTGAGAGAGTAAGCCGGGTGCTGGTGCTCCCGCCTGTCATCCCAGCTCCTCAGGAGGCTGAGATCTGAGGATTGCGGTTCAAAGCCAGCCTGGGCAGGAAAGGCCCTGAGACTCTGATCTCCCAGGAACCACCAGAAAACCAGACGTGGCGCCGTGGCTCAAGGGGTAGAGCGCCCGCCTTGGGCTGAAGCGCTGAGGGGCAGCGCCCAGGCCCAGAGTTCAAGCCCCAGGACCGCCCCCCCCACACACACACACAGGATGGATCTCAGGGCAGCGCCGGCCGCAGCTGGGGGGGCTCACCTGGGAGTTGGCCAGTTTGGGGTCGTCCACTTTGCCCACGAAGTCGCTGGCCGCCGTCTGCAGGTCGTCCTCGGGGCGGTACTCGTCATACCTAGGGGAGGAAGGGGGGCGTCCGACGGCGGCCCAGCTGCAGCCCAGGCCCAGCCCACGGGCCCAGCCCAGCCCAGCCCAGCCCAGCCCAGCCCACGGGCCCAGCCCCAGCCCAGCCCAGCCCAGCCCAGCCCAGGCCCAGCCCACGGGCCCAGCCCCAGCCCCAGCCCAGCCCACGGGCCCAGCCCACGGGCCCAGCCCCAGCCCCAGCCCAGCCCACGGGGCCCAGCCCCAGCCCACGGGCCCAGCCCCAGCCCCAGCCCAGCCCACGGGGCCCACGGGGCCCAGCCCAGCCCAGCCCACGGGGCCCAGCCCAGCCCAGCCCACGGGGCCCAGCCCAGCCCAGCCCAGCCCACGGGGCCCAGCCCAGCCCAGCCCCAGCCCGCGCGGCCCTGCGGGAGCGTCCGACCATTGCGCCCCGCGCCCGGCAGGTGGCAGCCGCGAGCCCCTTACCAGCGCTCGGAGGCGGCCGAGCCCTCGGGCTCCCCCAGCCACAGCTTCTCCTCCGACTGCTGCAGGTACTCCTCGGCCCAGCGGGCGGGGGAGGCCGGCGGGGCGTCTGCGGGGAGATGGCGCTCAGTCAGGGAGCATGCGCCAACGAGGCCCCCAGAGGCAAACCCTGCCCAGCCGGCCTCCGGGAGGCATCCTGAGCTGCAGTCAGCCTCTGCCATGACAGGCGTGCACTACCACGCCCCGCCGCGTGCCACAAACGAGGCCCTGGAAGAGGCCACAGCCTGCAGCCTCTAAACGGCCTCAGCGGGTGACAAAGGGCACCGAGCTCCTGTCTCAACCCCTAGGACTTTGTCCTACTTGGCTGGAACAACAACAACAACAAAAAAGCTGCGAGACAGAAGGTTCTGGAAGCCTAAGTAAACACAAGGAGGCCGGAGCTTGCTCAGGGTTCCTTCCCCGGCTCTGTGTCCCAGGGCTCACAAACACGGCCACCCGTCCTGACTCCCCAATTTGAGAACTGACGGCCCCGGCCCTCAGCTGAGGCTTGACCACATTTCAATACCGATCTCAAAATCAACACAACAAAAACCCAAACCAGAGCAAGTCCAGTGTCTGTGTCTCCCGCCTGCCATCCCAGCGACTCAGGAGGCTGAAAGGTGAGGATCGCGGTTCAAAGCCAGCCGGAGCAGTAACTCCATGAGACTTGTTATCTCCAATGAGCCAGCAAAAAGCTGGAAGTGGCGCTGTGGCTCAAGTGGTAGAGCACCAGCCTTGAGCTGAGGGACAGCGCCCAGGCCCCGAGTTCAAGCCCCAAGATCGACCAAAACAAAAAGAATCTAGAGCAGGGTGCTGGTGCTCAGGCCTGTAATCCCAGCAAAGTCCCTTGAGACTCTTAGCTCCAGTGTTTTCGTTTTTTGTTTTTAAAGTCAGATTCATTACATTAAAAACCAGAAGTGGTACAGTGGCTCAAGTGATCAGAGCATTAGTCTTGAGCAAAAAATAGCTCAGGGACAGCACCCAGGCCCTGAGTTCAAACCCAGGACCAGCGTTTAAAAAAAAAAACAAGTACAATGAACTTGCAAACACATTTTTCGCCTCTGGATTAAGGACGATTTCATCAGCAACAAGCAATGGAAGATCTCTCGGTCTTAGAGGAATACTTGTTAAGGAATGGCACCGTCGGGTGTGGTGGTACGTGCCTGTAATCCCGGATTTGAGAGGCAAAACTCAGGAGGCCCAAAGTTTGAGGCCAGCCTAGGTTAAAAACTTAGCAAGACCCTATCTCAGCCAGCAAGTGCACGTGGTAGCGTGCACCTGTAATCCCTGCTACCCGGGGAGGAGACAAGAGGATTGAGGCTCGAAGCCAGACCTAGGCAAAAACTTCCAGACCCCACTGGAAAAATAACTCAAGTTTTAAAAAGGCCGGAAGAAGCTGGGCGGGTGGATCTGGGGTAGAGTGCTCAACTGGCATGCAGGAAGCCCTGGGTTCGATTCCTCAGTCCCACAGACGCAGAAAAAGCCAAAAGTGGCACTGTGGCTCAAGTGGTAGAGCACCGGCCTTGAGCAGAAGCAGCTCAGGGACAGCGCCCAGGCCATGAGTTCAAGCCCCAGGACTGGCAAAAACAAGGGCTGGAAGAGTGGTTCAAGTGGTAGAGCACCTGCCTAGCAAATGTGAGGCTGTGAGTTCAAACCCAAGTACCCCCCTCAGCCCCCCCAAAAGAGCATGGAGCCCAGCAAAGCAGGCGTGAGACGGCACAGTAATCTGTGTGTATTGAGTGCTGGGGGCAGTGTTGGAAACCTCCAGCTGTAATCCGTCTATCCTGGGCCATTTTATCACTGCAGGGATGACGGGTCACGCGACATCGTGGGTGCAGTGTAACCCCAAAATGGCATCACCACCAGCATCGTATACATCACTTCATACCCTATGTGATGGCTAAGTTTTGTTTGTCAGTCGTGGGGCTTGAACTCCGGGCCTGGGCGCTGTCCCTCAGCTCTTCAGCTCAAGGCTGGCGCTCTACCACTTGAGCCACAGCTCCATCTCTGGCTTTTTTTTTTTGGTGGTATATTGGAAATAAGAGCCTCAAGAACCTTCCTGCCCGGGCTGGCTTGGAACTGCGATCCTCAGCTCTCAACCTTCTGAGTAGCTGGGATTACAGGCGTGAGCCACAGTACCTTGAGCGATGGGGACCCTGAGGCCTTGCCAGCGTTTGGAATGAGCGTTCATAAGCCAGTTGTGCAATTTGTATCTCTTGCTCCTCCGGATTTCTTACAGTGGACCAAAGACAAACAATGCTTCTCTTTGTGACAAGCAGAATGACTGCTGAGGACAGACCCTTCCCCCCATCCCAGCCAGACAAGCTCAGGGAGGAGAAGAACCAAGGCTCAGAGCCACCGTGCGCATAGGAGCCACCAAGAGAGGTCATTGGCTACATACGGTAGCTCACGCCTGTAATCCCAGCAACTCAAGAGGTTGAAATCGAAGGATCACGGTTCAAAGCCAGCCCGGGGCAGGAAAAATCTACGAGACTCTTGTGTCCAATGAACCAGCAAAAAAAAAAAAAAAAAGAGCCAGAAGTGGAGCTGGGCCTCAAATGGCAGAGCGCCAGCCTTGAGGGAAAAAGGTCAGGGGTCAGCATCCAGGCCCCGAGTTCAAGCCCCAGGAATGGCACCAAAACAAAACTCAGAAATCAAGGAGCTGGAAATGTCTTAAGCAATATCACCTCCATCCTAAGAGCCAGGAAAACAGCAGGAGCGTTGGCTTCCCCTAGGAAGCGCAGGCAAGCGCCGGCCCGGACTCACCTGATCCTTCGTTGGTGAATTCTTGAGACCAGTCCGACTCGTTATAATCTTGACTCACATCCACAGCATCGCCAGCAGCGAGAAACTCCTGGGCCCAATTTTCAGACAAGGCTAAATCAGCCACTCCGGGAGCTTATTAAAAAAAGACAGAGAAACAGAGAGGACTGAGACAGAAGAAAGCCAATTATGTATCTGTCCATTGTGCCTAAGAAACACTAAGTGCCCACAAACACCTGCTTGATTGTCAGCCGGGCGTAGTAGCTCATGCCTGTAGTCCCGGCTACTCAGAAGACCTCGATCTGAGACACACAACCAAAGCCAGTCGGGACGCACAAGTCCAGGAGACTCTCATCTCCACTGAACCAGCAAAAAGCTGGCAGGGGAGGCGTGGCTCAAGAGAGCAGAGCACTAAGCCTTGAGCGGGAACAGCCAAGTCAGACTTCCAGGCCCGTGAGTTGAAACCCCAGGACTGGGGAACTAAGTAAATAAGTCCCTGGCTGGTCCGGGCATCGCCGATGACCCTTGGACTCACCTCTCTGTGGGGCTTGGCGCAAACTGCACTGCTCCATTTCCTGCATCTCGGCCAACAGGTCGTCCATCTTGAAAGTCTGAGGGGCTCTAGACACGAGGGGTGCATTTTGGTCCTGTAGGAATTCAGCCACCAGCTGCCACGAGAGAGATGACATGAACCTTTGGAGTCAACGGGAACCGCCCCTTCCCCACCACCAAAAAACCCCACAGGCCCCCCCTGAGTGAAGGTAGAACTGTCAGATCAAACAGACGCAGGGAGAAAATAGTAGTAAGGTTCCAGGCACGGTAGCTCACTCCTGTAATCCCAGCTCCTCAAGAAGCTGCGATCTGAGGAACACAGTTCAAAGTCAACCTGGGCAGGAAAAATCCATGAGCCACTCATCTCCAATAAACCACCAAAAAGCTGGAAGTGGAGCTGTGCCTCAAATGGTAGAGCACCAGCCTTAAATTTAAAAAAAAGCTCAGAGACAGGGCCTAGGCCCTGAGTTCAAGTCCCAGAAATGAAAGGAAGAAAACAGGGCAGTAAAGAGACCATGGTAGCCAGGGGCCAGTGGCTCATGCCTGTAATCCCAGCTACTCAGGAGGCTGAGATCTGAGGATCGCAGTTCAAAGCCAGCCCCAGCAGGAAAGGCCGTGAGACTCTGATCTCCAAGGAACCACCAGAAAACCGGAAGTGGCGCTGTGGCTCAAGTGGTAGAGCGCCAGCCTTGCGCTGAAGAGCTGAGAGACAGCGCCCAGGCCCTGAGTTCAAGTCCCACAACTGACAAAAAAGAGAGGCAATGGTAATATTTACTTCATCTTCTGAGGCTGCTCCCAGAGGCTTGACAACCTAAGACAAAGAGAGAGATGTTTGATTGGACGTGGCTCACGCAAGCGCCAGCACGCACACACGTCATCACGCTCTGGGCCAAGTCTAGCTGGGCCTCAGGCAAGTCACAAGCCTGCCCTGACCCTCAGAGGCTCAGCTGAAAACCTGTCACTATTGCCCTAAAGATCCTCCCGCAGGGCTCCCCCCACGGCCCACACCCGCGATCCCTGATACTCAGGAGGCTGAGATCGGAGGCTCCAGGTTCGAAGCCAGCCCAAGCAGGAAAGTCTGCAAGACACTCATCTCTGATGAGCCACCAAAAAGCCACCCGTGGGGCTGTGGCTCAGGTGGTAGAGCGCCAGCCCTGAGCTCAGGGACAGCGCCCAGGCCCCGAGTTCAAGCCCCAGGGCTGCCACCTCCACAGGGCTAGGTGCTCAGCGGTGGCTGTGATCTCCCCTCCCGCAGTGCTGTGCTCGGTGGTGGCTGTGATTCCCCCCCCCCCCCGCAGTGCTGGGTGCTCAGTGCTGGGCGCTCGGTGGTGGCTGTGATCTCTCCTCCCCCCCCCACGGTGCTGGGCGCTCGGTGGTGGCTGTGATCTCCCCTCCCGCAGTGCTGGGCACTCGGTGCTGGGTGCCCGGTGGTGGCTGTGATCCCCCCCGCAGTGCTGGGTGCTCGGTGCTGGGTGCTCGGTGGTGGCTGTGATCCCCCCCGCGGTGCTGGGTGCTCGGTGGTGGCTGTGATCCCCCCCGCAGTGCTGGGTGCTCGGTGCTGTGCTCGGTGGTGGCTGTGATCCCCCCGCGGTGCTGGGTGCTCGGTGCTCACCGTGTCGGGCGCGGGGGCCCCGGGCGGCCAGGGCCCGGGCCGCAGTCCGTCCTGGCGCAGGGCCTTGTCGTGGGTGAAGTGTCTGGCCAGCTGCATCAGCGGGTTGGCGGCCCCGCACTCGCCCTCCACCAGCTCCCGCATCGCCATGGTGACCGCAGCGGGCTCTGGGGGGACACGCGGGCCGGGGTCGGACGCGGGGCGGGCGCGGGGCGACTCCCCCCCCCCCCCACCCCGCCTCGCGGCCCGCCCGCCGCCCGGCCCCGCGCCCCCCTCCCCCCCCCCCCCCTCGCCCGGCCCCGCGCTCACCGCGGCCGACGACCCGCGACACCTGGGCGAGCGCGGGGCGGGCGGGGCGGGGCCTGCGCCGCTGCGCGCGCCGCCGCGCTCGGGCGGAAGCTGTTGCCGGGGGCGGGGCCTCGCGTGACGTCCAGGGGGCGGGGCCTCGCGTGACGTCCAGGGGGCGGGACCGGGAGGCGTCCCGCGCCCGCCCGCCTTAAAGGGGAAGCGCCGCCGCCGCGCCCTCCCGCCTTAAAGGGGAAGCGCCGCCCGCCGGGCGGGAGCCGCTCAGCGGTTAGGACGGCGCCGCGGCCGCCCGCGTCAGGGCAAAGGGCGCTGCCTGGGGCGCCGGACCCCGGGGCTCAGCTCTGTGTGGAGGGCACGAGGTCCCGCTTCCTCCCGTAAACCCCTCTTCTGAGCCCCGGCAACGGGGGTCAAACGGCTCCCACGCGGGGTCGCGGGTCCGCTGCGCGGCCTGGCCCGGCTCCCGGGCGCTCCCCCGCCCCCGTCTCCATGGAGACCGGAGCCCGCCCCCGTCTCCATGGAGACCGGAGCCCGCCCCCGTCCTCAGCTCACGGGCGTCGGGGTCCCGGGCGCACTGAGCGGTGGAGAAAGGATGCTGTCCTGAAATCAGGATGGCGGAGAAACCCCAGACCCGCAGACGGAGGCTGTGACTCGGTACCGCACACACGCACACACGCACAGACTCACACACTCACAGACACACGCACACACGCACACACTCACAGACACACGCACACACTCACAGACACATGCACACACGCACACACTCACACACTCACAGACACATGCACACACTCACACACTCACACACTCACAGACACATGCACACACTCACACACGCACACACTCACAGACACACGCACACACTCACAGACACATGCACACACTCACACAGACACACACACACACTCACAGACACACGCACACACACTCACACACGCACACACTCAGACACACGCACACACTCACACTCACACACGCACACACTTACACACTCACAGACAGACGCACACACTTACACACTCACAGACACACGCACACACTCACACACGCACACACTCACAGACACATGCACACACGCACACACGCACTCACCGACACACGCACACACGCACTCACACACTCACAGACACATGCACACACTCACACACGCACACACTCACAGACACATGCACACACTCACACACGCACACACTCACAGACACATGCACACACTCACACACGCACACACTCACAGACACATGCACACACTCACACACTCACAGACACACACTCACACACGCACACACACACACACTCACAGACACACACACTCACAGACACATGCACACACACACTCACACTCACAGACACATGCACACACACACTCACACACTCACAGACACATGCACACACACACTCACACACTCAGACACATGCACACACTCACACACTCACAGACACATGCACACACTCACACGCACACACTCACAGACACACACTCACACACGCACACACACACACTCACACACTCACAGTCACACACTCACAGACACACACTCACACACACAGACACACTCACACACTCACAGACACACACTCACACACTCAGACACACACACTCACACACGCACACACTCACAGACACACACTCACACACGCACCACACACTCACAGACACACACACTCACACACTCACAGACACATGCACACACTCACACACTCACACTCACAGACACATGCACACACTCACAGACACTCACACTCACAGACACATGCACACACACTCACACTCAGGCTCACACACAGAGACAGACACAGACACACACACAGAGACACAGACAGACACACACACACACACACACAGACTCACACACAGAGACACAGACACACACACAGACACACACACAGACTCACACACAGAGACACACACACAGACACACACAGACACACACAGAGACACACACACAGACACACACAGACTCACACACAGAGACACACACACACAGACACACACACAGACTCACACAGACTCACACAGAGACAGACACACACAGACACACAGACACACACAGACTCACACAGAGAGACACACACACACACAGACCCACACACAGAGACAGACACACAGAGACTCACACACAGAGACAGACACACACTCACACACACACAGAGACTCACACACAGACAGACACAGAGACACACACACACTCACACGGACACAGAGACTCACACACACACACAGACACACACACACTCACAGACACTCACACAGACACACACTCACATGCACACACACAGAGACACACACAGACACACTCAGACACACACACTCACAGATTCACACACACTCACATGCACACAGACACACACGCACACACTCATACAGACACACGCACACACATAGACACAGACACATACATGCACACACTCATACACAGACACACACACTCATACAAGACACAGAGACTCACACGCACACACTCATACACACAGAGACACACACATACACACACGCACACACTCAGACACACACACAGACACACACACTCACACACAGACACAGACTCACAGACACAGACTCACAGACAGACTCACAGACACACACAGAGACTCAGACACACACAGACACACACACACAGAGACTCACACACAGACACTCACATGCACACACACACAGAGACACACACACACAGAGACACACACAGACTCACATTCACACACACAGACACACACACACAGACACTCACATGCACACACACACACAGAGAGACACACACACAGACACACACACAGAGACACACACAGACACACACACACAGACTCACACACAGAGACACACACACAGACACACACACAGAGACTCAGACACACACACACACAGACTCAGACACACACACACAGAGACTCACAGACACACACAGAGACACACACACACAGACACAGAGACTCACACAGACACACAGAGACTCACAGACACACACACACAGACACACAGACTCAGACACACACAGACACACACAGAGACTCACAGACACACACACAGACACACACACACACAGAGACACAGACACACAGACACAGAGACTCACACAGACACACAGAGACTCACAGACACACACACACAGACACACACAGAGACTCAGACACACACACACAGAGACACACACACACTCACACAGACTCACACAGACAGAGACTCACAGACACACACACACATTCACACACACACACAGACACACACACAGACACTCATGCACAAACACAGACACACACTCACACAGAGACACACACAGACTCACACACAGACACACCACATTCACACACAGACACACACAGAGACACACACTCACAGACACACACACTCACACAGACTCACACAGACACTCACATGCACACACACACAGAGACACACTCACACACAGACACACACACACAGAGACACACACAGACACACAGACACATGCATACACTCATACACAGACACACACAGACACTCATACAAGACACACACTCACACAGAAACTCACACGCACACACTCATACACACACAGACACACACACATACAGACACACGCACACACTCACAGATACACACATGCACACACTCACAGACACATGCATACACTCCCAGACACACACATGCACACTCACACATACAGATACACACATGCACACACTCATACACACAGACACACAAACACACACAGAGACACACAGACACATAATCACAAACACACACAGACACACACGCACACAGAGACACACACATGCACACACTCATACACAGACACACATGCACACACATACACACAGACACACAAACATACACACACACACACAGAGACACACACAGACACACAAACACACACAAACACACACAAACACACAGACACAAGCACAGACACACAAACACACAAACACACAGACACACACAAACACACACAGAGACACACACAGACACACGCACACGCACACACACACGGCCTTCCCACCTGCCAGGAGTTTGCTAACTGATCAGCAGTGCCGGCTGTGCGCAGCGCTCTGGACACCGCTAACAGCACCGAGCGAGGCTTCCAGCACATTGGCAGCCCTGCGCTGCGCTCTCTAGCCTTCAGGTGCGTTCGCACTTTCCACGTTCCGCTCTTCATCACACCTGAGGAAGCAGGTTGTGATGAGGGTCCACAAGTTAACATCGCCTCAACCCAGACACAGAGGAGATCAGAATTCACCCCGGTACCTAACGCTGGGTACGAACCCACGATGCAACCCGGGCTGCTGGTGTCAGGGAAGACATCGTAACTACTCACCTGAGAGAAGGAATTCTTCACAGAAGCCCCCCGCAGCCCCACCAACGCCGGCAAAGCTAACTGCCTATTTACTAGTCTATTAAAGTTCTAAGTTCCAAATATTACTTCTGTATCTGTATGTGTGTGTGTGTGAGAGACAGACAGACAGACACAGACAGAATGACGGGATTGAACTCAGGGCCTGGGTGCTGTCCCTGAGCTTTGTCATTCCAGGCTGGTGCTCTACCATTTGAGCCACAGCTCCACTTCTGGCTCTTTGCTGATTCACTGAAGTTCTAAGAGTCTCCTGGACTTTTGTAACCCAGGCTGGCTTTGAACCTTTGGTCTTCAGATCTTAGGCTCCTAGGGAGTTACCAGCTCCTGGCTTGACTCTAGTTGAGCCATTTTAAAAGGTAAAACCAAAAACCAAGTGGCACTGTGGCTCAAAATGGTAGAGCGGTAACCTTGAGCAAAATTGTTCAAGGGCACTGGGCGCTGGTGGCTCCCGCCTGTCATCCCAGCTACTCAGGAGGCTGAGATCGGAGGATCATGGTTCAAAACCAGCCTGGGTAGGAAAGGCCCCGAAACTTGTATCTCCAATTAACTACAAAAACAAAAAACCTGGTGGTGGCGCCATGGCTCAAGTGGTAGAGCGCCAGCCTTGAGCTGAAGAGCTCAGGGACAGCGCCCAGGCCCTGAGTTCAAGCCCCAGAAAGGCACCAAAGTTAAAGTAAAGGAATTGGGGCGGGGGGAGCAGGTACACCC